GTTGTGGGAATCGCGAACCCGCAATTTATCGCTGTCTCGGTGAGCGTCATACACTTTAGACTACAGAGGCCCGTAAGATATATTATTAGTTTCTAAGACCTGTGTATACAGTGTTATTATTTATTTTACACAGAATCAACAACGGCCAAAGTGACGACAGTACCACTGATGTCAGGAGCAAAAGGACAGACCATTGGTATGTAGATATGCCTACATTGTTCTATATAATTATCATTAAAATCCTTCCCAGAGACTTAGATATCTAAAAAAAATTATGATATATAATATATACACACACACAACCCCTGCCCCACCCCCTTCCACACACACACACATCAAATAGATAATAAAATAGAATTTTATTTAATTGAAGGTTAGTTAAACTAAGCCTAGTTTAACCTAGTCTTAAGCCTAGGCAGGTTAGCTGCCCCTTTGTAGGCCATGACCCATTACAGTAGTCTTCTGTTACTGTCACAGAGTATGTTTGTCCCCCGGAACCTCACTCTCCGTCACTCTTTTATATCGTACCAAACAGTTTATCAACGAAAGTTATTAATTAGTTGTATGAAAAAAGAGGTCAGTTGTGGGAATCGCGAACCCGCAATCTATCACTTTCTCGGTGAGCGTCATACTCTTTAGACTACAGAGGCCCATAAGATATATTATTAGTTTCTAAGACCTGTGTTACAGTATTATTATTTATTTTACACAGAATCAACAACGGCCAAAGTGACGACAGTACCACTGACGTTAGGAGCTAAAGGACAGACCACTGGTATGTAGATATGCCTACTTTATTCTATATAATTATCATTAAAATCCTTCCCAGAGACTTAGATATCTAAAAAAAATTTTGATATATAATAGGGCCTATATATATCACACAACCCCCTCCCCCACCCCCTTCCACACACACACACACACACACACATTAAATAGATAATAAAATAGAATTTTATTTAATTGAAGGTAAAGCTAAGCTTAGTTTGTCTTATTTGCCAACCTTCTTAAGCCGAGGCAGGTTAGCTGGCCGGTTGTAGGCCATGGCCCATTACAGTAGTATGGTTACTGTTCTTTAGAGAGTGGGTTTGTGTCACAAGTTCTCCCAGAATTCCAAAACAGAGACAGGACCTCGGCAATAAGTTACGACACGGAATTAAACGCGGGTTAAACTCTATTAACCACAACACATCACCTTAACAATAAGTCCATCTAACTTTCGAAATTTATAACCTTAACACTTTGTATCACATAATTAACTAGTTGTGCACATTACCATTAATATACTGAACAACGATCTCCAATTATATAATAATATCCATAATAATTACAATATAATGTTACCATTAACTTGTCATTCATAAACAACTCAGCTCTTCAACGTGGCTAACACGAACTCAGCTCTTCAACGTGGCTAACATGAACACAGCACTTATGACGTGGCTAACAATAGATCATTTTTACAAATTGCGATAATCGATTCTGTCTATCACCATCGGTACTACAAACAATTATTCAGTATTGCATATAAAGAAAATTTTGCTTGCAAGACTATCAATTAGGCCTATCTTTATCACCTTAACAATTTACAATCAACACTTCAAGGCAATGCAATAATAACTGGTTATAACAATAATTACAATAATAATAGTAATAAACAAATAAAAGAATAATAAGAATAATACTCAGCGCTTATAACATAGCTAACACGAACACAGCTCTTATAACGTGGCTAACACCAACGCAGCTGTTCAACGTGGCTAACACGAACACAGCTCTCATAACGTGGCTAACACGAACACAGCTCTTCTAACGTGGCTAACACTGATTAGGCTTACGTTTACATTCATTTGCAACAGTGTCAAGACTTACTACAACAACATCATACGAAGAAAGACAGACAACAGGTAGGTAGATATGATTACTAACAATTTCATTGAATACATCAGTACAACAACACACATGCATGCAAATACACACAACCCAGCCAGCCCTACACATAATAATATAATATAAAACCGTAATATAATAATAATAATAATATTATTAACAATAATAATAATAATAATAATAATAATAATATATAATAATAATAATAATAATAATAATAATATAATATAAAACCGTAATATAATAATAATAATAATAATATTAACAATAATAATAATATTAACAATAATAATAATAATAATAATAATATTATTAATAATTATAATAATAAATATTTATATAGCGCCTAATTTTAACAACCTCGAGTCGCTCAACAACAACATAATAATAAACAAAAAAATAAAAAATAAAAATGAGTAGCGTTGTTCTATAATGGTCTCCACATCCATACTCTACTCCTGATTGTCACGAAAATATAAAGGATCCTTCCATTCAATATCAGAAATGTAACCTCAGAGGTAATAATATAGGGCATTTTGTATTACCTTTAATTGTTTC